TGGTGTTTTGGTGTACTGGTGTATAGTGTTTTGGTGTACTGGTGTATAGTGTTTTGGTGTACTGGTGTATAGTGTTTTGGTGTACTTTAGTGTGTACTACTGTATGGTGTTTTGGTGTACTAGTGTATGGTGTTTTGGTGTACTGGTGTATGGTGTTTTGGTGTACTAGTGTATGGTGTTTTGGTGTACTGGTGTATGGTGTTTTGGTGTACTGGTGTATGGTGTTTTGGTGTACTGGTGTATGGTGTTTTGGTGTACTGGTGTATAGTGTTTTGGTGTACTGGTGTATGGTGTTTTGGTGTACTGGTGTATGGTGTTTTGGTGTACTGGTGTATGGTGCTATGGTGTACTGGTGTATAGTGTTTTGGTGTACTGGTGTATGGTGTACTGGTGTATGGTGTTTTGGTGTACTGGTGTATAGTGTTTTGGTGTACTGGTGTATGGTGTTTTGGTGTACTGGTGTATGGTGTTTTGGTGTACTATTGTATAGTGTTTTAGTGTACTATTGTATAGTGTTTTGGTGTACTGGAGTATAGTGTTTTGGTGTACTATTGTATAGTGTTTTGGTGTACTGGAGTATAGTGTTTTAGTGTACTGGTGTATGGTGTTTTGGTTTACTGGTGTATAGTGTTTTGATGTACTGGTGTATGGTGTTTTGGTGTACTGGTGTATGATGTTTTTGTGTACTAGTGTATAGTCTTTTGGTGTACTGGTGTGTAGTGTTTTGGTGTACTGGTGTATGGTGTTTTGGTGTACTGGTGTATGGTGTTTTGGTGTACTGGTGTATGGTGTTTTGGTGTACTGGTGTATAGTGTTTTAGTGTACTGGTGTATGGTGTTTTGGTGTACTGGTGTATGGTGTTTTGGTGTACTAGTGTATAGTCTTTTGGTGTACTGGTGTGTAGTGTTTTGGTGTACTGGTGTATGGTGTTTTAGTGTACTAGTATATAGTCTTTTGGTGTACTGGTGTGTAGTGTTTTAGTGTACTGGTTTAGGGTGTTTTGGTGTACTGGTGTATAGTGTTTTGGTGTACTGGTGTATGGTGTTTTGGTGTACTGGTGTATGGTGTTTTGGTGTACTGGTGTATAGTGTTTTTGTGTACTGGTGTATGGTGTTTTGGTGTACTGGTGTATGGTGTTTTGGTGTACTACTGTATGGTGTTTTGGTGTACTGGTGTATGGTGTTTTGGTGTACTGGTGTATGGTGTTTTGGTGTACTGGTGTATAGTGTTTTGGTGTACTGGTGTATGGTGTTTTGGTGTACTGGTGTATGGTGTTTTGGTGTACTGGTGTATGGTGTTTTGGTGTACTGGTGTATAGTGTTTTGGTGTACTGGTGTATGGTGTACTGGTGTAGGGTGTTTTGGTGTACTGGTGTATAGTGTTTTGGTGTACGGTGTATGGTGTTTTGGTGTACTGGTGTATGGTGTTTTGGTGTACTGGTGTATGGTGTTTTTGGTGTACTATTGTATAGTGTTTTAGTGTACTATTATATAGTGTTTTGGTGTACTGGAGTATATTGTTTTGGTGTACTATTGTATAGTGTTTTGGTGTACTGAAGTATAGTGTTTTAGTGTACTGGTGTATGGTGTTTTGGTGTACTGGTGTATGGTGTTATGGTGTACTGGTGTATGGTGTTATGGTGTACTGGTGTATGGTGTTATGGTGTACTATTGTATTGTGTTTTGGTCTACTATTGTATTGTGTTTTGATGTACTATTGTATAGTGTTTTGGTGTACTATTGTATGGTGTTTTGGTGTATGACAAGCTAGATGTTGTGAGTGCCCTATGAGAGCTAGTGAACAATGCAGAGACGCAAACAGATTATTTCGGCTTATGATACTACAACAATGTCTAGTGTATGATACTACAACAATGTCTTGTGTATGATACTACAACAATATCTTGTGTATGATACTACAACAATGTCTAGTGTATGATACTACAACAATGTCTAGTGTATGATACTACAACAATGTCTAGTGTATGATACTACAACAATGTCTACTGTATGATACTACAACAGATAGATTGAGAACGGAGGTGGAGGCAGTCACATCAAACGTGCCGCTTGCACGAGGACCAGCTGCAAGCGGCACCGCGATTGTATTTGATTCGAGAAGCATGCTGAGGAAGGTGAAGGCAGGCATGCACCATGCAGAGTGGTGGTCATGTCTTTAGAGGTACCGGATTAATATTTTCTCAGGGGCTTCCCGATTTGTTAGGACAAAGTAAAGATAAATTATTAATGCAATCTTCATGTCAACTTTGTGCTGTCAGTATCGGACTTGGACACTGACGAAAAAACATGGCAGAAAAATGATGTGTCTGTGAAACCAGATGTTATCCATCCTTTCACCACCAACTCGTTGCGAGACAGCTAGTCTATCTGGCTGTTCGTTTACCGACACTCCAGCATGTATTGGAGAAAATATCAAAACCAGTCGGTACCTCCGAAGTGATGCTTGCCACTCTGCAGGGACCATGCCTGTTTCTACCTTTCTTAGCATAATTGTTGTGATATAGTCACAATTAGGACACGTGATTACAGCTGATTTTCAAGTGGCTGCCTCCACCTCCATTCTGAAACTAGTCTGATGTTGTGATATCATACACCAGACTTTGCTGCATTAGGCGGTATATATTTGCTTTTGCAGGCGTCCGTCACTGTATCGTCGCGAATCCGACTCAAAGTTCCAACATACCGCGATCGAAACCAACTGCTGACTGCGAGGATTTTTTCATGGTATGAGGCATAGCAGGTCGATCCAGTCTAGTATGGGTACCAGGGATATGCCATAGGGAAGTAAAGACGGCCGGCGTAACACTTACCACACTATCCACCTAGTGCCGATTGGGTCTGTTAATAAATATGGAACCCTTCCCAGATGTCCGATGCGCCCAAAGTGGTGAAAAGAGATCTTTACTTTATTCGCTTATGCGGGTACTTTTTCTGCCGCTCAACAAAGAGATATCTGTATAGATGAAGCATTTGTTGAACTTCTGATTCTGCAGCACCCGCTCGCCAGCACCCGCACCTACGACCTAAAGTGATTAGAACCCTACACAAATCTGGACTGTTGCTAGCACACTTTGACCGATTCTCTTCTCCCATAACATGATCAACTCAGTTTACGTGTCTGTGTCTTGAGCTTGCGAAATCCAAGACCTTCCACTTTTCAGTCTGTTTCTCTGAGTTCTACCCCTCGTTTCATGCAGGAGGTGCTTCTTGTCTGCAGCTACTCTGATATGACTTTGCTTGCAGAACGTTGAGTCCAACTGAAATGATCGGAGCTACAAGTATATATCGCATACATACTACAGGGCTATCTCTTGTACATCCCAGAATTACTGTATGCGTGTGCTTCTGTGTGCATTTAAGTTTCGTCAGTTGAATCTTTGATACGATAAGCATTCCAAGTCCATAATCTATCACCGACAGGATCACATGCTGGAACATTGTGAACAGCATTCTTTGTTCCATGTCCATTGCTGCCATAATCTTGACAGTATTCTCATCGCAACTGCCTCCATGCGATCCATTAACGACAGGCTTCTATCTGTTGATGTTTCTACTATTAATCACTTTTGTTGTTTCTATCAGTCATTGTGAGGCTTGGGATATCCGGTCTTAAAATGATGTTGTCCAGAGAGCACCATAAAACAGGGGACAATCGCTGTAGACAAACTGAATGAATGACATGCAGAAATGGCAGCCGTCATTAACCCACAATTACAAAAACTTTTTGTAATAACACTATAATTAAATCAATTGGGAGCAGGGGGAACAAAGACTAAAATGGTTTGGTCGCTGAATGGCCAACATGCAAGTAGAAACACCCGGAAGTAGGAGACGTGTAAGAAAAATGTGGAGTCACTGACACCTTGGGACTCTACAACATCGCAGCAGACTGGGCAACTGAGCGTGCCCTAGCTCGGATGTTGCTGTTGTTCCTCCATCACGAGTTATGAAGACCACTTTTCTTCCAAAGTTGCAATGATCAATGAGTACGAAGGAGAAGTTCTTGAGCAGTGCGGACAACAGATGGAAACCGCTGTAAGTGTGGGATTAGCGATACGGTTCTTTCTAGTCTGCCTCCGTTTCTCTGCCTGTGCAACCTCTGTTGCCTGGCAGGCTGATGTGCCATGCCTGAGTGATGTTTGCCTGCTTATGCAGAAGCCCCCTACGTCGAAAAAGAATAGACAGCAGTTTAAAGAGTGTCCTTTTAGTGCTTGTCTGTCCTCCCATGGTCCTCTTCCATTGCTGGGGCTCGCCATAAAATACTCCCTTTGGGAGGCGATAGTCTAGCATGTGGGTTAGGTGATCAGCCAAAGGCAGCTGATAATTCTTCAGTATCGTGTGGATGCTAGGCAGGTTTGCCCAATCAAGAACTACAGTATCTTATCTTGCCATTTGATTTGGTTTTTTTTTTTTTTTTTAATGATTCAACTTTATTATAGCATGGCGCTGATACACAGTCCATGTTTCGCAAGCGTTGAGCAGTACTGGAAGAATTACAGCTTTGTAAACCTTCAGTTTGGTCAGCAGGGAGATACCACTTCTGTTCCAAACGCTGGTATAAATTCTGCTGAAACTGCTGCTGGCCTTTGAGATTCTAGCGTTGATCTCGTCGTCAGTGATAACTGTCTGAAATAAGGTACTGCTAAGACAAGTGAATCTGTCGCCTACATTTGTGATCGTTCGGTGATAGTGAGATCACAGGAAATCTGCGCCCCTGTTCGTTCAGCTTGGGTGTTTTCTCGTGCGGAACCATACACGTAAAACACTCCTGCCATCTCATTGGTCAGGGTGATCATGGTGGCGCCCTCATTGCTAACGCCGACAAATGAAACATGGAGGGAAGGAGAGCTCATGACTTGGCATTGGGTGGAGGTTGCAAATGCTATTTTCCTTTTGGTGTTCGGCGTCTTTGGCAACACTCTGGTGCTTCATGTTTACAACTTCAGGCTACCCGTGTCAACTATTACCTACATCAAAAGTGTAAGTCAGTCGGTAGACAAATTATCCTCATTGGCACATCGAACCATTCAGTCCATAAATCCTTACATTCCTTCCCCGGTAGACCCCGCAGCGTGTAGCGGCTGACAATGTCAGATCATCCGATCAAAAATGTAAAACTTACCGGAACGTTTTTCTTTTTAGGTTCGGTTTTTTTTTTTTTTTTTTTTCACAATGGGAATCTTTATGGGCGGGGACAATCTTAAACAGAGATTCTGTCATAGCATCTGATTCTCGAACTATGCTTAGGAAACTGGGGTTGGGTTTTCCTCTTAAAGAATGCGTCACGTCAATCCAGGGAAAGCAGGTGTTAAAAGTCATATTTTGCCTGCACTATGTGGGCGTGTTTGAGAATGAATAGGCAGGTAGATTGGCTGGACTTGCCTCACTTCGTGGTGTACTGCAACTGTACAAGGTAGAGGGAATCTGTAGCTTGTGGCACGAGGCAACAAGTCACAAGAAGGATACTGAAAACACCCTTACCTGGGAGAAATGGTGCAATGGAAAAAGTCTTCGGGCTCTAGGCGCCATTTGAGACTGGTGGGAAAAAGGCAAAACAGGTAGTTGACCAGATAACAAGAGGTTCCATTAGTTTGAAGACCGTTCCCTAGCTATTGACTCAAAGCTGATATAGGCTTGTCCTGAATGGCCGCGATGAAGAAACTCTCTAAACAAACCTGTATTTATCTCGCAATCACAAAATAAGAGGGACATGGAGGTTCTGAACCACACGTTCTGTTGCACTGGGACCCCATCTCCTACAGGTTCTAACCTATTCACACCTCGCTGCAATCATCATTGCCTAATCTTGGTAAAGTTCTTTCATTCCTTCGTTCATCTTTTGGTTCGTTTCTTCGCTCGTTTCTTCGTCCATTCCTTCGTTCGTTTCCTTGTTCGTTCCTTCTTTCTTTCCTTTGTTCATTCTTTCGTTCGTTCCTTCGTTCGTTCCTTCCTTCGTTTCTTCTTTCATTCATAGCGCTAAGCGCCACGGGGATCTGGCCACAGTCAATGGGGCTGTCTTTTTTTTTTCGAAGTCCCAATGCAAATGTATCAGTGAACCAGCAGTCAACACGCAAACAAACAAAAAAAAACATTTATTTAAAACGGATGTGCACGCAAAATTCAAGTCTTAAAACGGTTGAGAAAGAGACAAAAAACAAGTCATTTTTGCGTTTGTTCACAGCCAGTTAACATTAAAAAGTTAGACATTATGATAACTACCACTTTTATTATTACTAAGCACTAGGGCTCTACCGAATAGTGATTATCACTATTAGGCCGAATACGAATAGTAGGACCAACTATTCGGCCAAATACAAATACGAATAGTGTATCATCATCATCAGGTGCCTTGCCGACTGACGTTCGCGATTATGCCTCGCCACAATCTGCGATCTCCTGCGGTATATATTATATTATTGCTAACACACCTTCATGCCATGCAACAAGACTTTCAAGAATCTTCTCTCGTTGTCTTCCTCTATCCCTCCTTCCACAGATCTTTCCAGTGGTCACAACATGTTCCATTTTCCCTCTCCTCATAACATGGCTGTATGTAGCAAACAAGAATTCTTTTTCTAACCTTCAATGACAAAGATATATTGCATAATTTGTTGTTCATTTTTAAAAATGCAGTTATTGCGTGTCGCCTGTCCTCTTTTCGACAGTGGAGAGGAAATAAAATTTAAATTTTAAGTTTTAAGTATCTTCATGCCTTCTTTATTAATGTCACAATTTATAGCCGACTTTTCTTGATTTTCGCCGCGACACCCCTGGCATACGCACCCAGTTTGAGAACTCTGCTGTAATGCCTGGGTCAAGACCTTGCCAGCTGCTGTACCACGCAACCGGGTCGCAGTTTCCCCCGCTACGACAGACTTAGGCAACAGCAGCTTTTGTGTTAATGAGAGAGTTATTTCAGTCCATCGCAGTGTATGCAGAAACGAGTGTAAGGTAACCACTATTCGTATTCGGCCCGACCGCAACTATTCGGCCGAATACCGAATAGTTATTTGGTCCACTATTCGGCTCCGAGGCGAATACGAAGCGAATATTCGATGCAGCTCTACTAAGCACTCACCAAGGCTCAGTCGTATTGGGAGTTGTTTTCTATGGGTTGGCGCTACTGACTTGAAAATGCAATGAACGTTATAAATGGCAGATATATCACTGACGGTTGAAGGGGATAAATGACTTAGATGAAGCGATCTGCTCCAGGCCGCTAGACCGTTCAGTGATCGATGACATTTTAACTTGTCTGTGATGGAAGTAACATTCTGCAAGCTATCTGTCGCGTCATGTGTTGTGTCTGCGAGCATGTGGCGTGTCTGTGAGTTCGCGTGTACCTGTGTATGTTGTGTCCGTGTGTTATGTGTCGTGTGCATTTTTTCGTGTGTTAATGATGTGCCTGTATGCTGTGTCTACGTATGCAGTGTGTGTGTGTGTGTGTGTGTCAATATGTTGTCCGTATGTGGCGGGTCTTTAGGTGTGTGTATGCTTGTGTATGTTGTGGTGGTATGTGCTGTGTCTGTGTGTGTATGTTGGGTCTGCGTGTTTGTAGTGTGTGTGTGCGCGCGCGCGCGCGCGTGTTTCGACATGGTATGTGTATGTGTTGGGTCTTTGAGTATGTGTTCGCCTGTGTTTATTTTGGAGGGATGTATTGTGTCTGTTTTGTCTGTGTTCGAACGTTGGGTCTGTGTGTGTATGTTGTGTCTGTGTGTGTATGTTGTGTCTGTGTGTGTATGTTGTGTTTGTGTGTGAATTGTGGGTCTGCATGTGTATGTTGTGTCTGTGTGTGTATGTTGTGTCTGTGTGTGTATGTTATGTCTGTGTGTGTATGTTGGATCTGTGAGTGTATGTTGTGTCTCTGTGTGTATGGTGTGTCTGTGTGTGAATGTTGTGTCTGTGTGTGTATGTTGGGACTGTGTGTGAATGTTGAGTCAGTGTGTGCATGTTGTGTCAGTGTGTGAATGTTGGATCTGTGTGTGTATGTTGGGTCTGTGTGTGTATGTTGGGTCTGTGTGTGAATGTTGGGTCTGTGTCTGAATGTTGGGTCTGTGTGTGTATCTTGTGTCTGTGTGTGTATGTTGGGTCAGTGTGTGTATGTCGAGTCTGTGTGTTTATGTTGGGTCTGTGTGTGAATGTTGGGTCTGTGTGTGTATGTTGGGTCTGTGCGTATATGTTGTGTCTGTATGTGTATGTTGGGTCAGTGTGTGTATGTCGGGTCTGTGTGTTTATGTTGGGTCTGTGTGTGTATGTTGGGTCTATTTCTGAATGTTGGGTCTGTGTGTATATGTTGTGTCTGTGTGTGAATGTTGGGTCTGTGTGTTTATGTTGTGTCTATGTGTGAATGTTGGGTCTGTGTGTATGTTGGGTCTATGTGTGTATGTTGGGTCTGTAAGTGTATGTTGGGTCAGTGTGTGTATGTCGGGTCTGTGTGTTTATGTTGGGTCTGTGTGTGTATTTTGGGTCTGTGTGTGTATGTTAGGTCTGTGTATTTATGTTGGGTCTGTGTGTGTATGTTGGGTCTGTGTGTATGTTGGGTCTGTGTGTGTATGTTGTGTCCCTGTGTGTGAAGGTTGGGTCTGTGCATGTATGTTGGGTTTGTGTGTGAATGTTGTGTCTGTGTCTGAATGTTGTGTCTGTGTGTGTATGTTGGGTCTGTGTGTGAATGTTGGGTCTGTGTGTGTATTGTGTGTCTGTGTGTTTATTTTGTGTCTGTGTGTGTATGTTGTGTCTGTGTGTGTATGTTGAGTTTGTGTGTGAATTGTGGGTATGCATGTGTATGTTGTGTCTGTGTGTGAATGTTGTGTCTGTGTGTGTATGTTGTGTCTGTGTGTGAATGTTGTGCCTGTGTGTGTGTGTTGTGTCTGTGTGTGAATGTTGTGTCTGTGTGTGTATGTTGTGTCTGTGTGTGTATGTTGTGTCTGTGTGTGTATGATGTGTCTGTGTGTGTATGTTATGTCTGTGTGTGTATGTTGTGTCTGTTTGTGTATGTTGTGTTTGTGTGTGAACGTTGTGTATATATGTGTATGTTGTGTCTGTATGTGTTTGTTGTGTCTGTGTATGTATGTTGTGTCTGTGTGTGTATTTCGTGTCTGTGTCTCTATGTGTGTCTGTGTGTGAATGTTGTGTCTGTGTGTGTATGTTGTGTCTGTGTGTGTATGTTGGGTCTGTGTGTGAATGTTGTGTCTGTGTGTGTGTATGTTGTGTCTGTGTGTGTATGTTATGTCTGTGTGTGTATGTTGGATCTGTGTGTGTATGTTGTGTGTGTCTGTGTATGTGTGTATATGTGTGTATGTGTGTGTCTGTGTATGTTGTGTATATATGAGTGTGCTAGTACGTATGTCCCGCTTGTATGTCAGTGTTGTACGCCATTGCTGTGTTTGAATATTTACTTTACATTCACGCTATGAATCTTTTTATGTATGAGCACAATATACTAGATATATAAAATACAGTGGCTGCGTGAAAAATTCATGTTTTAAAAGGCTGAATAACGTGCTTAGTTTGAGAACCTTAGGAAGTGAAGTTTTTTTTTTTTCTTTCTGTTTATGGTTTTGTTCAGGGAGAGACCAACTTTCCACAATCCTGTAGACTGTAGAGCTAATAATGGTCTTACAGCTTGAAGACTCTTGTGTCACTAGATAATGAAGATGAAAATAGCGATGATGATGATAACGTTTACGATTATGACAGAGACGACGATGAAGTCGACGTCAATGATGATAGTGGTTGTGATGTTGATAATGATACTGGTGTTGAAAACGACGAGAACGATAAAGATGATGGTGATGATGAAGACAATGATTATGATGGTGATGATGATGATGATGATGATGACTACGATGATAATGATAGCGATGCAGTGTGGTACAGTAATAGATGACGCCTTCTCTCGTCAGACGTTGGCTGTTCTTGACCTGAGTGCCATCGTCATTACCAAGACGCTCTTCTTCTACATGCACCTGAATCCCAGCAGCCACCTCTACGACGCCATCTGTGTCTTCGCGGCTTTCTTCTCCATCTGGAACACCGGCTGTGCCGACCTGATCCTTGTCGTGATCGCCGTTGACAGGTAACCGTGTGGACGTTACTCATGTGGTGAGATATAGTGATGAGGATGGTTGTGATGATAACGATAGTGGTTGTGGTGGTCGTTGAGGTAGCAGTATTTAGAATGGTAGTGGTGACAAACACATCGATGATGATGATGATAAAGATAGTTGTTGTGGTAGTCGTTGAGGTAGCGGTATCTAGAATGGTAGTTGTGACGAACACATCCATGATGATGACGACGATGATGATAAAGATAGTGTCTGTGGTGGTCGTTGAGGTAGCGGTATTTAGAATGGTAGTGGTGACAAACACATCGATGATGATGATGATAACGATGATGATGATGATGATAACGACAGTGGTTGTTGTGGTCGTTGAGGTAGCGGTATTTAGAGTGGTAGTGGTGACAAACACATCTATGATGACGATGACGAATATGATGAGAAGGATGATAATGAGGCTGATGATGATGATATCGTTGATGTAGATGATAGTGATGCTGTTAATAAATAGGGAAAACGAAGGAAAGATGGATGCAACTGAGGCAGAAATTAGGGCACGAATGAACAAACGAAAGAAGGAATGAAGAAAGGTCAACCAAATAAGGAAAGGATGAAATAGTAAACGATTTCATGATTTGTCCTCCTTCTGAAGTTGTCAGACTTGAGCAAACATCCTAAATCTGCTGGTGGAATCTTGATCAACAGTCCGCAAACCTTTTCCTGTGTGCTTACGTTTATGACTGACCCTTGATCAACAGTCAGCAAACCTTTTCCTTTGTGCTTACGTTTATGACTGACCCTTGATCAACAGTCAGCAAACCTTTTCCTTTGTGCTTACGTTTATGACTGACCCTTGATCAACATTCAGTAAACCTTTTCCTTTGTGCTTACGTTTATGACTGACCCTTGATCAACAGTCAGCAAACCTTTTCCTGTGTGCTTCCGGGTCTGACTGACCCTTGATCAACAGTCAGCAAACCTTTTCCTTTGTGCTTGCGGGTCTGACTGACCCTTGATCAACGGTCAGCAAACCTTTTCCTGTGTGCTTCCTGGTATGACTGATCCTCTGGTAACTCCGTATTGAACTTGCCTCACCAAGTATTCTTTTCCATCTAAGTTTCATTATTGTTGTTATTATGACTGACTGACTGACTTTCTACTCCACCAGGACATCACACAAGCGATAAACACCCGATGAAACAATGTGTCACCATGGGGGTGAGGATCACCGTGGAGCGCTCTATGGAACCGCGTTCAGACCTTAGTCCATACTTATGGCCAGGCTATACTGCGGCCCCTGGCAAAAGCCAGAGTAGGGCTTCAAATAACGAAAAATTTCATCCTAAAAAGGACGAGAAGTAGAAATACTCACAGGGAGACAAATCTAGGAAATAAGTTCGATGGTTGAGAACACACACACTTGTTTTTGGGGCCAAAAATTGCTTTTCTGATAATGTCTCGTGGGTACTAAACCCGAGGATGTTTTGGGTCATCAGATGCTGTATAAATGCGGTACAAACCTGCAAGCGTTTTTTCTTATCAAAATCTTGCACTAAAATTTTACGAAGGGTCTGTCTATTAACACCAGATTTATTTGTTATCATCCTGACAGTAAAACAACGATCTTCTTGTATCTGTTTCAGTGACTTTTGCCATGAGTTCATCATTACGAACAGAAACTGGGTGTCCAGGTCTAGTTGCATTAGAAAACACTTCTAGACCACTTTTGAATCGTGAATTTCTTCTTCTTCTTCTTCTCCTCTTCCACCTTGTACCTCATCGAGGTGTCGGGGGAGATGTAACATTCGTTGATGAGCTCTGTCAAGAGCACGATTAAGACTGATGTTCATTTCTGCAAGGCTGTTCTTAATGCCATCACTCCATATTTTTCTAGGTCTTCCACTTGCTCTATACCCGTTGTAACATTTTAGTGTGGCTCACTGTGGCAGTTAGTACCAGGGCATTCTTGTTAGGTGTCCAAACCACTTCATTTGTTGTTTTTTAATGACCTGTAAGACTGGCTTTATTCCTAGCATTCGTCTGATTTTGTGATTTCGTATTCTGTCTTTCCTTGAAACTCCTGCAGCTCTTCTAAGGCATTTCATCTATATTGTCACAATTTTATGTTCATTGGAGGATGTGAGTGTCCACGTTTGGCATTGATAGCATAGTTGAATCATCATCATCATCATCATCATCATCATAAACCACCTGAAAATCTGTACACTAGGTAAGCAATTATCCCCATAAACTTGTCGCATCAATTCAATTGTCTCAATGGTGCTTTTCTGAGTTTTAAACAAAATTTAAAGTCAGCTTTTTGCTACATGCTGATTTCGTAACAATGCACATCTAGCTAGGTCAATAAAATGGGATCTTGTTTGTCGTCTGCTTATCAGACAGCGATGCAACGTTGCTAGATCATAGATAAGGGTTGTCTCTTTAGATTCCTTGCTTTGCTTCATAGATTGCACTTTTGTCTTGGCCGTAATAAAATCAGTCTCAAAACCTAATTGTCGAACCTTGTATATAAAACTTGTCAGTGTCTCGGGTATTTCTGCGACTCGCTGCAGGCCACGGCCGGACGGTTCCCGAGGTTCAACCGGCCTCTTGGAAATGGGTACTCTGGGGTAAATAGAGGAACGTCATTGTAGCTACGGAGTTGGGTGCGGACGGCAACACAGGCGGACAGTTTCTTATCAGCTGTCCGTACTGGTGGCAGAGCACTTATAGTCCATAACCGTGTGTAATGACGCTGGTTCACATCTCCCGACTTTACTTTTACCTTTATTGTCTAACCTATATATTTTAGTACCGGTTCTGTTCCAACTCTTCTCCTGACTGCATTATTCCCGTCATTTCCTCCGTGTTACAACTAACATATTACTACTTATTTCATTTTCAACGTAACCAATTTTTTTTTCTTTCGCCTCGAATTATATGGTTTCTACCCGAGTATTCGCTAAACATCTTCTTATCACTTAAGCCAACATTCATCAACGTCGCTCCCATCACAGTCCGTTTGAAAGAAACTCCGTCTCTCACCATCTTTCCAGCGTCGTGCAGTCTTCAACCCACTGGGCCGCTTATATACTGTGCCTTATCCGAATAACATCCGGTAATTCGTGCAGCAGTGGAAACCAACCCTGAGCTTCATGAACTCAGGTGGGCCCACTCTCTGAAAATGTATAGGAGCTCGTGGGCCGAAATATCTGTCGACGAGAGATGACTTCTACTGAGTATTGGTAGACCCCTGCTGTACATGCTCCCCTGTGCTGATGATTGGTAGACCTATGCTGTACATGCTCCCCTGTGCTGATGATTGGTAGACCCCTGCTGTACATGCTCCCCTGTGGAGTTTCATCTTATTGCCCGCCTTTCTACTGCTCGACCCCTGTCCCTCTTTCCTTGTATCTTGCCTTCTGCTATTTTTTTTTTCTTTCTTTTTCTTATAAGGCCAAAATATTTCAGTGTCCAATCTTTCTTCATGTTCAGATCTCTTAGAATGTCAGTATTTCTTTTCTTCTTTGTCAGTGGTGTTCTAAGAATCTTTCTGTATCATATCAGCTCAAAAGCTCCTATTGTCTACCCTGATTAACGACACGGGTGCAATGGGGGGTGGGGTGGGGGAGGGGGAGGGGTAGTCATTAGCTCATAGCCGTGTGTGTCGCTACAGGGAAGATGCATACTCTCAAAACTACTTTTCAACGGGTCCAAGCGATTTTGTAACTGAGTGCATTAGTGCTTATATTTATTACTCCGCCACACTAAACATTTTCTTTGGTAAAGTTATGTTTCTATTTTGTTTTGTTTTAATGAGCAGTCTGTACAAGTACCGGTAAAAATCTAATCATTATGACAACACGTGCGTTTAATTATAGATTAGGAAACAATTCTGACCAAAACGTGTCTCCATAATTTCGGTATCGCCTTGTTGCCGACAGTAGAGGCGGATTGCACATTTTTAAAGCATGAAAATTGTTTGGGGTACAATTGTGTGGCATTATTTTGAAGGACAAAAACTATTGTTCAACTATTCCACGAGTTTCTGTTTTAAAATATATATATATATATATATATATATATCAAAAAAAATTTTAAATAATGTATTGATCGGCACTCTTGGAAAGAAGTACAACGCTAGAACAACACACTGGACAACATAAAAAATAAAAATAGAACCTGTCACCTCCAAATTGCGTGTGCGCCTCGCTGCGGAACAAGCGTACTAAGAACGTGACAAACTAGACGCCCGGATGTACTATGTTAGTGACACAGATATAATTAAAATGTTTGTGCCAGCGAAGGGACTGTACACATTTATATTAAGTTCGGTTAACGGTGGTAATTAGAACCAATAGCAACAATGTGAGTGTGTTGTCTGCTGCTGTGCTTTCGTTTGGAAAGCATCGCCCCCCCCCTCACCCCCCTCCACCCCCGTGTGGGTTCCGTGGCCCTAATATAGGAAAAACAGGAAAAGACCCACTGCCTGCGCAAAAGCATGTCGTAAGAGTCTAATAATTGGGAGCTTCCTTCGAAGTCGGAGTGCATCTAACAACATCTCCCACCAAATGCCGATTGTTGTATACAAATATTTCTAGCCCTATATTCCCAAGTAGATCTGAAGGCATGGAAAGGGACCTTTACTTTTAATTCACTCACATCCAGAGATTATAGATAAAAGATGTGTACATATTTCAGGTTTATCCAACAGGGTCTAGAGACCCGACAATGCTAAAGATATAAACATATTTCTGCTTTATTCAACAGATTCCGTAGGCTCTGCTTGGTGCCAAAGGCAGGAGTGCATACGAGAAGTGCCAGGAGACTGTTTCTAGCAATCTTCATGTTCAGCTGGCTGTTAAACGTTCCCATCTTCTGGCTGTTCGGGAAAAGCGTCCGGTACGTCCCCGAATACGGCGTCAAGGTCACCCACTGCTTCTTTAGAGACGACCAAGTGAATTCCACATTATTTTACATATATTACGTAATTTTACTGATATTTTTTCTGGTCACT